TCCTGCTGATTGGTGCCTGCTGATTTGTCCCATCTCTGAATGCCCTGAGTTCCTAGATTAGGGTGCCTCATATCAAAGTAATGAGCTTTTCCTAACGTTAAGTGGACCCAGTTTGCATGACTAAAATGTATTCTGATCTTTAACAGGAGGTACAAGGAGCATGTCTTTTTTATGTCCTTACTGACAAAATATTTTTACTTGGAGGGGAGTGGCCTTCATCAGCCTGTGAGAGCCAACCATCTGGAAACCTGACACTTTTACAATCTGTACTGCTTGTGAGGTGTCTGAACACTAACATTGTCCTGTTACTCATTTTATGTGGGTTTGGCTGGTCTCTCAATGAGCTCCTGCAAGCCAAAATAACTGTCAGTCTCTCTTGTAAACTCCTTTCCATGTGCCACACAGAACTGGGCACAGAGCAGCTGTACAGAAATACTTGTTGAAACATCTAAATTGAATCATGTTGATCTTCCACTCCTTTGGCAATGAGCAAGTCAAATTTTGTCTGCTTTGGGTTCAGTATGTGAATCAGGTCCAAGCGACAGATGTAGGAACAAAAGTTGCATACAATAGACTGATGAAGAGCTGGGGAGATAATTCTCTTCACTGAATGATTAAATCAAAGCAGTTTTGCTAGTTGTCTGGGGGAGGAGTGGGCTCTTTCCAATAGAACTTGACATTATTCCTATCAAGAATTATCCTTTGTGTATATATGCATAACCCAGGAACCCAGACAATAGGGTGGAGAAGGCCTGGGGTGGGAGGTGGGGGCAGGCTGGGAGAGGTCAATGGAGGAAAAGGGGGACATATGTAATACTTTCAACAATAAAGATTTTTTTTAAAAGAATTATCCTTTGGAGGGGTAAAGAGCTATTGAGCCACTCCATTTAAAACACAGATTTATGTCAAAGGAAAAAGATCCATGGCTTTTCCAAAAGTCCTGTGCAGCAGTAGAGAAAAAGTAATAATTTTTAGCCCTTGCCTGAGAACATTAAAGAAATGAAGCATTGCAGAGGGAAATACTGCAGTGAGGATCCTGGGAGGTTTATGAAGAAAAGATTTAGATAGATTGAAAACATGGGTTCCATAAAGATCAGGCCTGAGGCTAAACCCAACAGCTAAGATCTTTAAGGTTTCCCCACATGGTCCTAGCTATGCATCACTACCCCTGCCTTTCCAGCTGCTACTCAGGAGCCTACACCCAGGAGAGCCCCATAGCTTCTGTGCTTTGCTGGTAGGCAGATCTCTTATAGCTAGATAACTGGCTGATATGATATACTCACTTTAAACTCATAAGGGTAGTTCAATATATCACTACTTCCTAAAAACGTAATACCTTAACCCTAAATAATAAGTGATATGGGCATTTCAATCACTGTAGTAAGGCCAATGGGGAAGATACTGAGAATATCAGCTTTTTGCAGGCTTCAGATCATACCATCCATGGATTGCCAGCATTCAGTGTGTAAGAGCTTGGTCTATGGTCAGTCAAGCTAGGGCTCCAGTTCTGGCTCCACCACTTACCAAGAATGAAAGCTTGGGCTCAGTCCCATCATCTGCAAAATGGGTATAATACTAATATCTACCTTTGGGGTTGCTGTGAGATGATATATGTGAAAATCTGGTACAGTGCCTGGCACACTATATGTTAGTTAATCTGGCTATGTTAAGAATAGTTCCTAGTTGCAACTCCTAAAAGATTTGAGTTACCTACCAGACTTCACCCACTACATACACTAAGGAAAGAAGGCTTTGGAAAGAGAGAGTTCTTCCAAGATTCATCCAGCACAAATTTATTTATTCAATCACTCATTCAACAAATATTTATTCAGTGTTTACCTTGTGTCAGGCATTTAGAAAAATATTGGGAAAATAATAAAGACTAACACATGCTCTCAGTTCTTGAGCAACACCCAGTCTTCTGGCTTTTAAGAAGCTCCTATAACTGCTCATCCTTTGTTGTTGTTTCTTTTAAGCCCCTTAAGGAGGAAATTGGAAAAGAACTCTATTTATACTAACCCACACACAAATTCATCGTTTTTGACAAATCAGGAAGCATGAGTCCTCCAAATCTGTGCTTCTTTTTCAGAATTGACTTAGATATTCTGCCTCCATTGTATTTCCATATGAATTTTCTGATCACCTTGTCAATTTATGCAATAAAATACCTGGGGTTTTTATATGGATTGCATTGAACTTGTAAAACAGTTTGAGGAGTATTGCCATCTTAACAGTTTTAGCTCTTCCAAGATTTAATAAACCCTTACTATGTGCTAAGTATAGTTCTAAGTGCTTCATACGTAGTAACATAACTTAATTCTCACAGCAACTATATATGATAGATGCTAGTATCTCCATTCTTCACATGAGGACATTGAAGAACAGAAAAAACCACTGCAATCTAGCTCCAGAGTCTGTAGTCTTAACTACTCTACTATATTGCTTTACACACACACACACACACACACACACACACACACACACACAATTTATAATGGCTTAAGACTATCATTGTGATCTTCTGTAACCCCTGCCTACCTCTTAGGCCTCTTCTCTTGTCATTTTCAACTGCATGCATCCCAGACTGCTTTACTTTCCTGTACAAGTCATGGTCTTTTTCACCTCTATGACTTTATCCCCTTTTCTTTGTTTACTATTTTTCTTTCAAACTATGCATTCTTTAATACTCTACTCAGTTACTACCTCCTCCAAGAAGCTTTTTCTGAGCAGTCCAGATTTGCCTCTCCTTTATGCTCTCATTTTTCTTTGTTCATATCCATTTTAGTGCCCTTACTATACTGTTTTATAACTGTCTTTTTATACATTTGTTTCTGTCACTAGACTGTGTGCTCACAGTGCTTTTTCTTCATTGCATCCAAATATATTGTTTTACCCTTCTACTTTTCTTTAATTTTTTTCTGGTACTTTTTTCATCCCAGCCTTAGGGAAAAGAACATGAAGGAACACACATGCTATACCTTTACAGGCAGGTCTGGAAGTGCCACTCATCATTTCTCTGAACATTCCATTATCAAGGACTTAGTCATGTGGCCATACCTCATTGCAAGGGAGACTGGGTGGTGTAGTCCAGCAGTGTGTTCAAGAAAGAGAAGAATGACTTTGGTGGAGAAGCAAATGACCTTCATAAATGTATTAACAGTAAAGTTGGGTACGTAAGATATATATAGTGCAGCTCTGTTTAACCTTTCCCATGGATAGCTGTAGTAGTCGTCAAGTATTTAAAATCATGACTGACGATTGAGTTCCTTATTGAGTTCCTTACCAGAAAAAGAGCAGTTGGAGGGTGACTTGCAATGCTGATGATTCCTTAACTATTAATCACTGACACTTTGTAGATTGATTTTAAGTAAAATTTCAGCTGAGTTGTATACATGTTATAATATTGGCTCTAAAATATATCTTCCTCATTTGCATGTCTAGATTAGGGAGGGTGTTAAGTAAATGGCAAAGTAGCAACCCAATTCATTGCTAGCCAACCACCAGGTTCTCAGAACCAAAGGAGTAAAAAGACAAAATTAAAAAGGGGATTTATTTACATTCCAAACCATAGCCACAGGCATGAGCTGATTCCCTGCCAGTTTATGTTTGCCCAAAGTGCACAATTGTTGATGACTTTACATAGGCTAGGGGAATGAGTAAAATGTAAATCAATTTGAAATGAAAAATACCCATAATTCTCTGCTAAGGGACATGTAAACTCTCAGGAGATCTTTGTAAAACAGCTGCCCAGGCTCACCACCCAGAGAGGCTCATTTAGTCAGCCTGTGGTACCACCTGGGAATGTGGATTTTTAAAATTCTAATGCAGAGCCAGGTTTTAGGAACCATTTCTCTAACATGATGAGAGGTGGAATAAAGAGGCAAGTCAAAGCACAAACCAAACAGAGTGATTTTGTTTAATACATGAAACAAATAATCCAAAGAAAGATCTAGTCTCATAACTTGACATGTAAAGCTATCTCTGGGGTTAGATCCATTCATGGGAACCTGTAAATCAGGCCTCTTTGGGGGATTGGTCATGCAACTGGCTGTAAACTAGGAAAGGTAAGAATGTAGACTTCCTCCTTGTCATCTCTGAGCCTAAATTCTTCTCTTCTTTTTCCCAGTTTGTTGCTCAGCCCAATTGCCAACAGTTGCTTGCCACTCTGTGGTATGATGGCTTCCCTGGATGGCGGCGGAAACACTGGGTAGTCAAGCTTCTGACCTGCATGACCATTGGGTTCCTGTTTCCCATGCTGTCTATAGCTTATCTGATCTCACCCAGGAGCAACCTTGGTCTATTCATCAAGAAACCCTTTATCAAGTTTATCTGCCACACTGCATCATATCTGACCTTCCTCTTCATGCTTCTCCTGGCTTCTCAACACATCGTCAGAACAGACCTTCATGTACAGGGACCTCCCCCAACTGTCGTGGAATGGATGATATTGCCTTGGGTTCTTGGTGAGTCAAAGGAGATAAAGCCAGACTGGCTGCTGGTCCTGTCTAAAAAAAATACTGGAATAGGCAGTTGGACTAGCTCTGAACCTTCCATCTGTGTAGTGGCGTAGTCCTTTGTTGGGAGCCTCAGAAATGTAGTTCCTTCTTCCCCATCCCTGGTCACTCATATTACCTGTTTTACAGTGAGATTGGCAGTGTACTCAGGGCTTGTTTCTGTTAACCTAATACCATCAAGGACAAGGAAGGTATCTGTCAGTTTGTTTAGAAGGAAAGCCAAGTGTCAGTTCAGAACCAGCCTCAGGTAAGTTAGGGAGGGCATGCTCTCTTTCCCATAACTAGGAGAGGTGGCACTTGGATCTACTTATTTCTCATGACTAGTCCACACAATCTCAGTACATATTCAGAGTAGACATCCTATTTGGATACTGATTTCACAATCAGGGGGGATACCTGGGAAATTCACACAACTCATGGTAGAAGCAGTCTTACCAGCATCCTCCAGGCATAATTAGATTGCACTGGACCCTTTAATACACTGCCATCCTCTAAGTCTTTGCTACTTAAACTGTGGTCTTGGGCGTTTGTTAGACATACAGAATATCAAGTCCCACCCTGGATCTTTAGAATCAGATCTGCATTTTAACATCATCCCCAGGTGATTTGCATGCACCTTAAAGGTTGAGAACCACTGCCTTAGACTACAGCCATATACTTTACTGTGTTGCACATTCCAAAGCATCAGTACTATCAGGCAGAATTCCATGAAGCCATCACACAATGAGAAGAGAAAGGAGAAAAGAGGATTCTAAATTATTTGGGGCCCCACTGCTTGGCTTTAACACCAATATCAAGTATTTTGGTCCATGGTCAGCTTGCTTACCTCAAAACTCATTAAGAAATTTTCCCACTATCACACATTGGAAACTAAGGATTATGGGAAAATTTTGACCTAATTATATTTTGGTGAAACTACTCCCACTCTAAAATGGAAAGAGGGTAGAATCTGGAACCCAAAATTATAACAGCATCCCAGTAACTATAATAAAAATGCCAAAAATGAGTAGTAGCCAGAAAAGTATAACATATGTGCATATCCAGGTAAAGCCTATCGGGTTTAGTAAGTTCAGTACTGAGAGATGAGAAAGAAAAGAAAAAGAAGTAAATGATTACTATCTCTAGGGACTTCATTCCACTGACCCCAATTGATTCACTTATCTCATGTTTTGTTATATGAGGGAATCCTACTATGATGACTAGGATGACTATTCTGCCCTGTAAAGAAATGAACCTTTTGCTTCCATTCTTCAGGTTTCATTTGGGGGGAGATTAAGGAAATGTGGGATGGTGGATTTACTGAATACATCCACGACTGGTGGAACCTGATGGATTTTGCAATGAACTCACTCTACCTGGCAACTATTTCCTTGAAGATTGTGGCCTATGTCAAGGTAATTTGGAATGTCTGCCTTTTTTCTTAAGCAATAATTTTGGTTACATTAAGCTTTAGCACTAGGGACATAAAGAGTTTAAGGGCAAAGTGCCGATGACGATCCCATCCATGTGGGAAAGTACCATGTAAACATTATTTTAATAGTTTGTAATCAGTGTCGTCTAAGCAAAGAAAGTGGAGAATGGAGCAATTTGCAAATAAATTCATAGCTTCTTAAACTCTGAAAGTAAAATAGCTTTCAGCCACCCATCCATTCAATAAGTGCTTAAATGTTGTCTAAAATATCCTTTCCAAGAAGATGGCCCGCCAATACTTGTATAGGACAGAGATAAGAAAATTCACTGAATTCACTATCTCCAAAAGCTTCTCTCAACCCTTGTCACCTCATTAAAAAGTACTAACTTTATATTTTTCTAATATTTTCTTCCTGTGACATATTCATTAGTAATCCTTTTCCCCTGTGGCATCAAACAGGACAAGGTTGTTCCTTCTCCATAACAGTGCTCCCACTGTGAAGTGATCGCTCCCTAACCTGCTAAGTTCTCTCTTCTCAAAGCTAAGTATTAACACTTCATCAACTATTCTTCATGTGACAGAAGAACATAGAAACTTCACTGCATGAGACATAGACCTTTAATTGTCTCTGCCTCCCTCATCACTTCCACCACCAAGATGATCATTCAAGCTGTTATAAATCCAGCTTTTTTGGTATCATCTAATCTATGTCCCCCTATCAATTCAGATGTCATGTATACACACACAAACCACCTTGATACAGTTCCTCCACACTATACAACCTGAATTATCCTGAAAAAAAGTTTCATATACAGCCCTTCACATTAGGTAGTCATAGGCTTTGAGTTCAAATGTGATGCTCATTAGATAATAGAATGGCCATCCTCCGCTACCCTGAATTGAACTTCTCCAGTATGAGGAAAGGCTGACGATTAAGGCTCCAATATTATCTAGTTATTCATGCTTTTTGGTACTAAATTCCACATTAAGTTTTGGAATGGGAATATGGCTGTCCCCCAAATCTCCAACAACTTGCTTTATTTTTATACCCATAATATGCATATTGCATAAATTTTAAGATTTGGGGAGTTAGTTATATAGCGCATGAATGTGGAATGCAGTCATGAAACATTTTTTAAGAAGCCTAAGAGTATGCCTTATACTTGTGGTGATCACTTAACACATATTTACAACTTCCTTATACAAGAAAAAGCTGGTGAGGAAATGTTTGAATCTCTGGTTAATGTGCCTGGATGAAATCCATGTCATTCTGGCACTCTGCTGACTAAGTAACACTGTTTGCCTAAAAAAAATACATTTCTTCCTTTGGAAGTGATATTTATACACTGGAGAGATAATTATCAATCTAGAAATTGGTGGGTTTTGCTTAAAAGTTTAGAATAAGTGATCAGTAAAATGATTAACTATTGGGGATATGAAAATGTACCTATAAAGCCCAATATTAGCCAATCACATAACCTGTCCAGCTTCACTGGTAAGGTTTCCAAAGAGCTAAACACTTCCCCACCTTAGAGTGAAAGGATAAATCAGCTCTGCTAAGCTGAGTGAATGCCCCTTAACTGAAAAACACTTAACTCAAAGGAAACATTTGCCAAGAAGCTGGAGTCATCCTATAAAAAGAGAAAATTTACAAAGCAAGACATGCCACATGCAGACTTTAGATTTGCAATAAGAAATTATAAATGGGCAATCTGGCCCACTCATCCACAGAGCACACCAGCCTGAGATGAACTTATTCTGAGCACCACATAGGCTGTGTCAAGCCCTAGGAGGTAAAACCTCAAGAGCTGGTTCCCAGGGTTCTTGAAACATTTCAGATCACTATTGTACTGAGGAAGTACAGAAGCACCGTGGGATAAGCTGGTTTTAAAGAAGAAGATCCTTTCTTAGAGTGAAAACTAGTCACCCCACATGGTTTACAACAACAGGAACCAAAAGGCACAGACTAAAGTACTCAAAAGGAACAAATACACATAAGGTTGGTGGTCCTCGGTGCCCCCCAAATATCCCCACAAATGAATAATAATTGTCCTTTAGTCTTTTAGAATAGCACCACCTAGATTTATTCCCCCACCACCTTACTTCCATATGTACAGACTAAATCTGAACTTTGATAGCCATTGAATTTTAGTTCTTTCTTTAAGGGCCAGTTCTTGGCTGCAGACACACACACCCATCCTTGTTATGACTGAGTCCCCTTTGAAAGGCATGGAAACCAATTTTTAAGGTGCATTCCATCTCAAAAAAATATAAGAAAAATCCCTTGCCTTACAATATCACTAACTCAAGAGTCAGAAAATTTAATCCTTGCTCTGATACTCACAAACTGGATTACCATAGGTCATCCTTCTAACTCTCTGAGCCTTAGATTTGGACTCTAAAAAATAAGATTGGAAACACATCTTGAAATTAAAACTTATACAGAATTGCAATATATTAGAGTTTAAAGTATTGAATTTGGATTGAGGAATGGGTATTCCAGGCTTCCTCATTGGCTCCCACAGTGGCCACCAGCTGTTTCCAATGAAACCTCAGGTTTCAAGGAACACGGTTGAAAAATCATTTGTGTTAGATCAGGAGTTAGAAAACTATGGTCTTCAGGGCAAATTTAGCCTCCAGCCACATCCTTTTGTTTACATACTGTCTCTTAGTTCTACAAGAAATTAGTTGAGTTTGAGTAATGGTTACAGGAACCATGTAGTACACAAAGTCAAAAGTACCTGGTGGGGCAAAAGTAGGTTTACAGTTGTTCAAGTGGGAAATAACACAATATTTAATAAATAATATAAAAATAAACTCCATGTTTCATGTAATTAGAATTGCAAACCTACTTTTGCCCCACTGTGCTTAACACAACATTTTTGTTGACCTCCATATTAAATGAGTTCCAAATTTATTCCCTGCTCTCATATTTTATAATATCTTTCTCTAAAAGTATATGCAGAGCAAGATTTGCCTCAATAATCATCTTTCACACTTATGAATATTCTTCAAATTCCTATGGGCAGCAGACTTCCCTGTGGTTACAGTTGTGGCTGTGGAGAGAAAAAACCCTAAATTATGAGCTATATATTTTCCAGTAAATAATTTCTAGTTTTAAAACATAGGTCTGTTTTCTTATCAGCAAAGAGTCTCCATCTTTTACATATACCTCAAAACCTTTAAAGGCCTATCTACCATATGTGCTGTAATATCAACTATCATATAAGTAACATTTAATAGAAATAATGCTAGACTGTTTAGAGACCTGAGTTTTAGTCCTGGACCTGCCATCAATTTGCTGTATTGTGTGATCTTAAGCAAGTCACTCTGCCTCTCTGTATTTCAGTTCCTCCACTTGAAAAACAGGCATAACAATACCCACCCTCCACAGAGATGCAGCAGATTTTTTTTTGGAAGGAAAAATATAGAGATACAAGATTTGGCCAAGAGTGTACAAAACTGGTTGGCCAACTAAAGTCTATCTGAAACAGAAGCAGAATGTGGCAAGGTTTCTCCAAACTCCTCTGACAGTAAAGAATATTGGATACACACAAATGATTTTAATAACACCAGTTTCCTCAGTTGTTGGAACTGAAGCACATTTTAGAAATGTGCTAACAATATAATGTGGCCCACAATACAACATTTTCTCAGGAAAGTTGTTTACATTTAGTCTTGAGAAACTGTGATATTTAGATGAGAGCTCAAGGCAATATGCTTCATAATGAATTCCAAGCCAAATCTACTTCTGCCTTCAGAAGGTAATAAGCAATTCCTTGTATTTCCATAACATCTCCCCTTATGGAGTACACAGACTTTCACATATGGGTACATAATCACAAACGTGTGTAGTGGGTAGGAGTAGATATTATCCTCATTCTATGATGAAATTGAGAGATAAAGGCAATTTGGGGTTTTTGTTGTTTTGTTTTTAGAAAGCAAACTTGCTCTTCAATGGTGGATAGGATGGAGGGCTGCTCTCATAAGAATGGGGTTAGGGTGTCAGATGCACATCCCCTTGCAGGTTAAGTCAGATCTAGCCTCCCGGATCTGGCTCTACAATGCACATGCAGTGTCCTGGAAGGCGAGGAGGGTAAGAGCAATGGTGGAGAGGCCTTGAGGCTACCATGATGAAATTAGAGCAGTGGCTTTGCCTGGGAAGCTCTGACCATGGGAGCCCTGGACCTGGAGCTGCCTTCATCATGCTGAGAGTTACTCTGGCTACTGCCCACCTGCTTGCTGATGTCTGCCAGCTGCTATGCCCTGGGCACTGTGGGCTGTCGCATGATCGCTTTTCACAAGAGATAAAGGTAGTTTGAAATGACAAAATCCAATTGAACTTTAGGTCTCCCAACAAAGCCATATTTCTACAAAGCTGGACACCCAATGTTCCAGGAGCTAGTAGTCCAGGACAGGAATGAAAAATGGATAATAACCCTAGAAATACTAGCTCTTTTCCTACTTCAATCCCCTGGTTCTTCATTTGTACTAGACAGACATTCAAACTTGTAGGGCTGTCAAAGGAACAATAAAATACATCCATACACCACTGTGTGGGCAGTGCTAAATTCAATACATGGAAGATTGACATGACATTTGAAATAGTACGCAATACATTACAGATTGCAAAAAATTAGCATAAAATTCTGAATAATGGCCCTCCAGAATGCTCCATCAGCCCCACACTGCAAACAGCAGGGAAGTCAGGGTAAATACTGCACATCATTGAGGCTATCCCTTGTCCTTCAATAACAACTTGTCTGTGGTGCTCAGAACAAAATAGATGGGAGATGGTTGAGGAGGTGAGTCTAATTTGAAATCTCATTAGGAAGCAGAATAATTTGTCCCCCCACCTTGGGCATACCAGTGGCTCGATTCCAGTGACACTCCCCAACAATCTGGCAAACTCATAGTTAGAAAATGTTGACAAGTCACAGGTGGTTGCTCCATATGAATGCTCTGAAATTCATTTTTCTATGTCTATATCCTGGGTATATATTTGGATGGGAGTGGGAAGAATAGAGTTATTAACATCATGTATTGATTGGGGGTGGGCAAAATTGTTATATAAGTGAATTCTTGATGCTTACTTTGATGGCTTTATTTGGGTGCAGAAGATAGGCAAGAGGGGAGAGTTTTATAAATGCTCACTGTGCTTCTCATCTTGTGCACTTGTTTCTTTCAGTATAATGGTTCTCGTCCAAGGGAAGAATGGGAAATGTGGCACCCGACTCTGATTGCAGAAGCGCTCTTTGCAATATCCAACATTTTAAGTTCGTTGCGTCTCATATCCCTGTTCACAGCCAACTCCCACTTAGGGCCTCTGCAGATTTCTTTGGGGCGAATGCTGCTTGATATCCTCAAATTCCTCTTTATCTACTGCCTGGTCCTTCTGGCTTTTGCCAATGGATTGAACCAGCTTTACTTTTATTATGAGACCAGAGCGATTGATGAGCCGAACAACTGCAAGGGGATCCGATGTGAGAGACAGAACAATGCTTTCTCCACGTAAGACTTCCCCTCTCCTCCATGCCTTTTTCTGCCTTCTCCTTCTTTACTCTATTTTCAGTCCAAGCCTGTATCACTGTCTCTTGACAGCGCAAACAAAGCTTACTCATGGATTAACCTGAAGGGTCTGAAGTGGAGGAAGGTTCTTCACTTACTACAGGGACTAGGAGAGGAGGTAGACTTAGGTGATGGAGGATGGGGAAGAGATAAACACACATCTGGGCTCCCAGGAACATATCTAGAGTTAAACTATTTTGGTAGCATCCCACAAGAATCAATAAGGAGGGAGTAAATAATTTCTCACTCAAAAAAGCATCACTCACAAGGAAATGAAACAGCAAGATTATTCCTCTGAATATGTGACTATGAAAGCTAACTTAACTAACTATTCTGAACCAAGAACAAAGAAAAGAAAGGATGCAAAAATATTTTCATGCACCCTGTGTTATTGTGATTTATAATAAGAAATATGTACTTGGTCCGCATCCCCTTCTCCCTCCCTACCCCCCTCATTCTGGCACAGAGCTCCTAAAAGACTCTTGGAATTTCCTAAGTGATAAGAGTGATATTGTGTCTTATGTGAATGAGGTTACTTTATGGGAGCTGGCAGCCAGTGGAGTTATCCATTTGATTAGAGGGTTCAAATTTTCGGTCCCACCCTTCTGAGAGGAGAACAGCTGGAAATTGGAGTTCAATCACTAATGGCCAATGAATTTAACCTATGATACGTACGTGATGAAGCCTCCATTAAAAAAAAAGCTAAAGTATAGGTTTCTGAGAGCGTCTGGGTTGGTAGAGATTTGGGGAGATTGGCATGTGCTTGGAGAGGTCATAAAAGTCTCACGCCCTTTCCCCATATCTTGCCCTATGCATCTCTTCCATCTAGCTGTTTCTGAGTTATGTCCTTTTATACAAACTAGTAATGTAGTAAGTAAAATGTTTCTCTGAGTTCTGTGAGATGCTCTAGCAATTTAATTGAACACAAGGAGAAGGTTGTGGGAACTTCTAGTCCAGCAATTTTCAACTGGTGTGCCACAAGAATTTTTAAAACATGTAATACCTGACTATTTAGTTAGGGGCACTCATCTCTTTTCCCTTTGATTGTCAAAAAAAAAATACAATGGTCAACACACCAAAAGCGGTCCCACATGAATGAATCAAAATTATACCTATTTTTTGTCAGATCAGCAAAAAATGTAATATATTTTGGTGTGCCACAGAATTTTGATAGTTTGTTTATGTGTGTCATGACATGAAAATTGCTGTAGTCTCTAGATTGTCCGTGAGAAGCAAACCTGGGATCAGAAGTGGGGAGAGAAGCAGTCTTGTGGGACTGGGCCCTTAATCCAGCAGTGTCAGAATGAAGTGGAATTGTAGGACCACCCAGATGGTATTGGAGAATGGTGGTATGTGTGTGCATGTGGGGGGAAACCTACCTATATCCACACGTTGGATTTGAGTTCAGAACCCCTTAGTTGGTGTCAGAGAAATGGAATTTGCTAGAATAGCTGCGGCTCACAGAAACATGTAGTACTTTCGGAAGAGAAAAAAAGAGAAAGGCAGGAGATGATGAACCTTTGATCCCTGGATGGTACCTAGTCACCATGATATGAAACTGCAGTTGTGCTATGATATGTTACTAAAGGTAAAAATTCGCAATGGAAATTACAAATGTAGTAAACCTCACTCCAAGTTGACTCATTAGATATATAAGGAAATGCAAAATAATAAGAAGCATGCTAAACATACAAACCCTTGGTTATTGTTATCTGTAATAGCTAAAATGAAAATATAAAAAAATGTTGGGTTGGACATTAATACTAAACCAAGCTGAGACTTAGATCACTCTGATCTTGGGTCATCAGCCTCAAAGCTGCCCCTAAGGGGGAAATTATGTGGGAATAATAGAAAATACCTTTAAGACCTCTGATCAGCAAGAAGGTTTCAATGCAGTGGGGCAGGTGACACCAAGAAACTACTGAAACTAGGGAGAATAGAGTGAAGGAGTTGTTTCATTTTGTAGTTCAATATCATCAGCTTCTCAAAGAATCTATACTGAGATGTATTTTGAGAGTAACTACTTTGGATACTGTGTAGTTGGTTTTGAAGGCTGCAGAGTGAAATAGCAAGTGTAGGTAGATGTAGAACCCACCGCTCACTGTGGAACAATCAGAGATGGCTATACACAATCCATACACCCAGGAGGTTATTTCTGAAGGAACAGCCAGCCTGGTGGACTGGATATAAGCCATTAAGGTCTATTTACCCTGATAAGGGGGACTTTCCATCTCCCCCTATAAATGTGGAGCCAAGTGCATCCCCCCAGATGAAGCAGCTGGTATGCTTCATATGCAAGCCATGTGGGACTGGCTTTATGATGACTGGGATATTCGGTGCTGAATGTGACCATTACCCAAGTTATGGTAAATGCTACTAGTAGAGTTAAGGGGACCACTTTCATTTGGGTGCCCCATGTAACCTTTCTACTGCAAAACCCAGGGACCTTTGGGGAAGCCTTATCAAATTTCCTATCTCAGCTTCCCCTCCTGGGTCTTACACGTGCTAGTAAAAAACATTAGGCTAAGTAACAGGAGAATAGGAAGAGACCAAAAAGGTGGAAATTTTTCAGTAGTTATTAAGAAATAAGATGGCCCCAGTTGGTGGTGTGGTTCAGTTGGAGCATTGTCCTATACACCAAAGGTGTACGGGTTCCATTCCTGGTCAGGGTGAGTGCTGGAGGCAACCAATCTCTCTCTCTCTCTCTCTCCCCCTCTCTCCCTCTCTCTCTCTCTGCCTCTCCAACTAAAAAAAAAAGAAATAAGATAAATAAAGCAAATATTGATAGGAGCAGAAACAAAGTGGAAACAAGTTGGAGAGTCACAAGACTCATCCCAGCAGGATATAAATCTTAAGATCATTATTTTAAAATGAGATAAATAAAATGGACATTGATAAGATTAAAACAAAAAATTTAGTATAGAACTATCAAAGATTGGGTGAGACTAAGGGACCTGTGCTGGTTCCCCAAAGGGTCCAAAACAAGTCCACTCTACCCCAGTTTTGAGAAATTGAAAAAGCCAGAAGGCAAAAATCACAATGAGAAACATGATCATCAATCTCTTCTGGCAGTGGTTTGGGAGATTAATCAAGTTAGATTGAGACAAGGGCAAGGGTCTCTTGGATCAACCCCTGGCTGGGAACCCAAAACCACAAGAGTAGGTAACATGGTCAGAGGGTGGAAAAGAGAAGTTTCCAGGACTCATTTAACACAGGAGTCCCACAAACTGTGGTACCAAAACCCATTGGTGAAGCCCTGACTCACGCTTCACCAATTGAGGGAATATAAAAATGTAAAGGTTGATAGAATTATGAAAGTTGGAATGTTTGAGCAGGTTTTATGTAAAGAAGGTGTGTCTCCTCTTCCTGAATGTCTTATGGAAATATATATCTGACAGTGGAACACTCCCCCTACCCAGTATTATAAAATCAAAACCTGTTGATGAAGACCTACTAGAGGCTGCAGTTAGAAACACAAGAGTTGATGGGATTAATGTCAACATTTGTAGAATTGGCATGTTTGAATGGGCTTTATGTGAAGTGGTTGCATCTCTTTTACATGATTGTATTATTGGGATGGGCATTATATCTGATTGAGGAATGTTTTTCCTACCTATGATTGTAAAACAGAAGTCATGTTGATTGAACATACTAAATGGGAATCAGTAAGGTTGCTTGAGCACACATGGTGTAGAATAGAAGCTGGAATGATGGTAGGGACAAATGCTCTGTGTCATAATCTTATGTGGAGTGTAGAATGGGGTTATGGCAAAAGCTTGTGAGCATCTCCCAGTGACAACTGCACCACCTTTCACAGAAGTAAGCTAGCGAGAGAGGACAGGCTGAAAGAGATTAAAATCAGCTTACCTTCTAGGATTAATTTAAGGTTTCAGGTGGGCAAAAGGGTATCAAGCACTGATTGGAAATGTTTCCCATTCCTACTGGGGACACAGGAGACAGCTCAAGACTCTTTGTCCATGAGTCTACTACCTCCAGACACATGGAACTCCTGTAAGTTTTCTTTGCAAATTCAATACCTGCTTCTTTAGGACCTTCAAGACTCAAGTGTGGCTTTTCTTTTCTGGAAAATCACTATCAGAGAAATAGACAATAGAAAGCAAATAAGCACACTTTAGGAAATGTATTAGGTTCCAGGAGTGGTGATGGGATTACCCTGGTCTCAGTGGCCTATACATTGCCCATCTCCACCCCAAGTTTTGGGAAGTGCCACTCATCAATATCACAACAATGACCACAAGTTTGTGAGGTATTCTTAGTCATTAAATTAAGATATAATTTTTCCCTTTAACTCTATAACCTGAGGCACTTTAGTGAACTCAGATATTCTAGAAAGCTGTTCATTAACAAAGGTCAAGAAAAAAGTGTTTCTGCTTGACCCCAAGCTGCACAAACTGAGAAAAAACAATGCTACCTAGCTTATTCCTATTATTTGCCTCTAGCAGCATTTCCTAAAATGGGTTACAAATAACCACAGAACAGCGGGCTCTGTGGCGCAATGGATAGCGCATTGGACTTCCAGTGACAAATAACCACAGATCAGGGAAATGTTAATAGACAAGAAAATAGGATCTAAGATCAAATGTGTTTTGAAAATGCTAAGACAAATTTTAAAAGATGTCTTCATTGCAGGACCTCTCAGACTTTCCATTGTGAATGTACAATGTAGTGAGAGGTTTCCCCTAATGTATTGGCCAGGATGATGTTCCAGTGAACAGAGTTTGAAAAATGTTGGCTTATTCTATTGCCCATTTTGCAGTGCCCACCCCCTCCATTAGGCCATAATTATTGCCTCTCGGGGTAAAATTTTGGATAGAGAAACCAGACTCATGTGAAAGGAAAGAGAGGCCAAAATGAGTTGACAAAGAAATAGTGCTATTTTTATTAAGCCAACCTTGGGTGTTTAATGGCAACTGATCACCTTG